CTTTTGTCTTTACCATTGAAGCTAGGAAAAACAGTCCTGTGTAAGTAAGATTTTAATTGGGTGGGTCTTAGCTTGTACATTCATACAGATATAAACAAAGGGCCATTTGTTGAGGAAGGTGGTTACATGTGAGTTGGTGGTTACACATTGAGGAGAGGGACGATCTTACCATGGAGAGTATATGGACCACTTTCCTGGAGACCTCTGGTCTGAGGAACCATTCAAACCGCAGCCTGTTCACTGTGTAGCAGATGGATGAGGATGAAGGTAGAGAAGAGATAGGAATGTGAGTGTGAAAGGTGGGGTCTAGAACTTAGGAGAATAAAGGGAAGGGGGAAGATGGTGGTCTTGAATTAGTGTTTGGTGTAGGCATTATAGAGAATGAGACATGGCTCATTCCTCACTTTCTCCTTCCCTTTTTCCTGCCTTCAAATGGACTTTTTGGCTTTATTTAAAATGGCAGAGCACATGAAGGGAGAGAGAATCTAGCTAGGATAAAATAACACCAGAGACTGTGCATCCCTAAGTACTATGTTTGTGCTCATCACCTGTCTTTTATTTTTCATTACTTCACATTTGAACAATGGACCAGATTACAAGTGCTTTGGGTACCACGATGAAAGATGATAAATAAAACATTGACACTTTAAGCTGTGGACTGAACTGATTAATTACCAGGGCTGCTGTGTTTTAGGTCTTTTGTAAATTAGGGGATGACTAGACAAAACTTTTCCTGTTTGGCTGTTTGGATCTGATAGAAAATAATTTAGAACTGGTATAGGACTCAGGCTTTATTAATGGGAATCACAGACCTCCAAACCTAAAATTGACAAGGGACCAAATTTTCAACCTGACATCATTTTGGTTGTGAGAGAGTATCTGTCAGTAGGTGTTGCCCTTATAATTTCATTGACAAAAAATATTAATGCTTACTACAAGGTTATTCATAGAATTGCAATGGTGTGCACAATTAGTAATCTGTGGCCTTTAGCAGAAGAAAAAGAGACGACCAGTGGCTTTAGTCATTTCTCAGGATTTTACTAGTCGTCTTTCAGATATTAAATGTGTCTTGGGGAAGACTATTCTAGGCTCTGTCTTGACTGTGCATCAGAAACACAGAAAGGGCTTATTAAAATACAGATTACTGGGCCCCATCCCCAGAGTTTCTGATTCAGCAGATCTGGGGTGGACTCAAAAATTGGCTGTTCTAACAAGTTCCCAGGTGATGCTGATGCTGCTGTTCTGTGGACCACTCTTGGACAGCTGGTGGTCCTGTGGGAGTTCCAATTCAACTTCACTTGGTGTTCATTTGGGGGATTATGTTGCTGGAGGCCTTGCATTTGTCTCTTTCTGACTCAGTGTTTTTCTCCGCTGGGGTTTGGGCAGGAGAGAGAAGGAATTTGCATTCATTCCAGTGACCTGGCTGCTCGGTGCTGTCAGGCCCATGGACACATTGCCATTTCCTGGCCAGGTCAGCCTCTCCTGGTGAGGTCCACGTGACATGCTGATGGGGCAGCGATCCTCCATTGCTCCCCCTTCTGCTCCCTCCTAAACTAGGAAGTGCACACTGTGACAGAAAGAAGCAGTATTTGTAGTGTTGGCTTCTGACCCAAATCTTGCCTGCCTTCTGGAGGCCACCACAGTCCCAGGGTGGTGGCCGTGTGAGGGTGCGATGTGGGTGCCAAGAGTCTTTGAATGGCCAGGTGGTTGACTGGGGCTGGCTGCTGGGAGGGAGTCAAGAGATTGGGTTGTGTTTCTAAGTGGACCTCAAACTCCTTGGGTGACCTTGGACAAGCCTCCTAATCCTTGACGTCCCCATTATGACCATTTGTGTTTATGGAACACACCTCTTTCCTTCCCAGCTTGTAAAACAGCAGAAAAACAGAAACTGCGATCCGGTGAGTGGCCTCCACGGCATTTATGCACGGCTGTGCAGATCTTTGAGTGCCTGAGGACAAAGCTGCTGTGTAAACACAATATATTATTAATAAAATGTTAAAAAATAGCATCACACCCTCTGCTAATAATAGCCAGTTTAGGCTGGGGGAGCAGCTTTGACATGCAAGCTCCCAGCAGTGGTGAAGGAAGGGTGACTATGGTGTCTGAATTTGCAGCACATTTAAAAGAAGATGAAAACAGGGCTTTACAACATTTTTGAGCGTATTCACAGGTATGTTGCTGAAGAAAATATGATTATACTTGTGTAAAATTCAACTTTAATAAACCAAAGCATCAATTTCTTTCTATTTTCATTACATTTTGGAGTGGTTTTATAAGGTGGGCTATTCAATAGGCATTTTGGCTAAAGTATTAGGAGTGTCCTTCCCCTTGTATTGGTAAGTGGCTGATGCCCCCTTAAACTCCGTGGGGGGAACATTTAGAAATTATCTAGTAATTACCGAAGCAGTTAGCAAATACATCTGTTCTCCAGATGCATATGGGGCATCTGCTCTGTGCTCCAGTAGATACCGAGATGGAAAAATAGGGTTCTTGACCTTAAGGGATTTGTAGTGTAATTTTCCTTCAAGATACATGAGCAAGATAGTATGGAAGGACCATTGCATCTTTTTTGTCTCCTTAAGAAATGTAAACAAAATTCAGATCCACTCTTGGTGCATTATAGTGGTGTTTCTGCAGTTATCTGGAAAAAATGGGTTCCTGCAGCATCCCTGTTGGCTTTGTTTCTTTCCCCGGCCCCAGGGAAGTATGGAAATGAAGGCTCCCAGAGGATGTTGTACAAATTGTCTGTAGAAGGTCTAGCACCCAAGTGGTGGCTGCCCTACCTGTGTCTCAGAGAGAGAAAACTGCTTGGTAAAAAAATACACTGCACATCTCGTAGGGAACATTAGACCTCTTCCTTCCTCACCAGCTGTGGTGACCACAGTAGGGCCCCAGCTGGGTCTAGGTGTGGGATTGTCAACTCCAGTGCCTCTGGGAATTGCTTTGGAGCTTTGACACAAATGCAGATGCTTGGGTTCACAGCCCCGAGATTCTGATACAGTTGAATTGGTGTGGTCCCTGGGCGACTGTTCAGAAAACTCCCCGGGTGAGTGCAGTTTGCTCCTGGGTTGAGAAGCACTGAGGTGGTGGTTGACTTGATCTGAAAGAGGGAATTAGTCTGTGGCAAATGCTCAGAAATTTTTTCAATGGAGAAAAGCTCAACTTACATTGGAGGCTTATCCTGACTTGAGGCTCTTTTTCTGTAAATGGGACCCCCCCTCCCCAGAGTGTGCAGGTCGGAGTGGTTATTTCAAGTGCTGGTCACAGTGGCCCATAGCTTGCTTCCCCATGGGCACAGCTGGGTCTTGGGGGCCAGTGCCTTGGGAGCACTGATCCCCTGATCCCCAGGATTCTTCAGCTTTGCTCAACTATCTCATCACTAAAGGGCCTCCAGTAGATGGACCTCATTCCCTCATGATGCCCCTCCTGGCTGCAGCCCCTTTTGCCCTATAGCCCTGCCAGGACTGGGATTACCAGCCCCAGGCTTAGTGCCTCATGTTAGTGTTCTTCCCTCCTGCCTCTGCCTTAGTGAGTACTTACTGCCTGAATTATCTTATCTCCTCCTTGAGCCTGTGTGTCCCCCAACCCAGGCTCATTCTGGGGATGTACGGCAGTCATGGCGGATCACTCATTATTGTGCATGAGTCCGGGTCCTTTCTTGCTCAAGATCCCCAGCCCATTCATTATTTTTCCTACAATCTCTATATTTTATGTTATGCACTAATCTGTGATGATCCTTTCTTTCTGTCTGTTTTTGAAAGACTAAAACCTACAATTAGAGTATGCATTAGAAGCCTAATGACTGGGCTCCAAGCAGCCTTATTTACCTGCTTATTTCTGACTTTGAGGTTTGGGGGAGCATGTCTGTCCATGGGCTCATTAGGATTCTAATTAAGTAGGTGTTACTTCAAAGTTATGTGGGCAATTTTGGGTTGTTCTGTTACCCAGAGAAGGGAATCCAAGATGGACAATGAAAAATGATTTGATAGGTGAGAGAAAAAAGGGCTCAGGAGGCTGCCAAGTGATGGGGACATCAGGTTGGGATAGGAATGACCTAGAGCTAATGGTAATCGTTCATTTTTTCTCTATTTTGGTTTTCATTTGGTGTTTTGACTCCTGTATTACTACCATCATTTCCTCATATTTATTTTCATTTTTCATCTTTGCTTCTCCTGCACATTGTTGTGTCTGGTTTACCAGAGAAAGCTCCTACATCCTGAGCTCCCCGAGATGTCCTACCAACCCCTGCCCCACACCCCCCTCCTCCTCTTCCTGCTGCCTCCTGTGCTGGTATCTCGGTTGAACTCATTCTTCCTTCCCTCCTCTCCTTTCTTTTTAAAGAATTGCTTCCTCTTGGCATAAACACTCTACCTTTTGTTGTTACCAAATCATTCTTCCTTCCAGTCTTTGGGAAAATACAGTGGTGTCTATCACGTCATATCAGGAAGAGACATCCAGAAGGGACTTTTGCTTTGTTTAGGCCCACATCAATGGGTTACTTACTTATTTATTTATTTGGATGCTCATTTTCATCTTCAGGTGGGAAATATTATTTCCATTTGACAGGTGAAGCTAAAAGAAATTCAGTAGCTTGACCAAGATCAAGCATATTAAATGATAGAGCTTGGGATGTCTCAGGCCAGAACCTTCACTCTTGGCTATTAAACTCTGAACCCTCCAGCTGGAGGTGAACGGGCATATTATGTTGCCAGGCCGAAGGGATGGATTTACTGTCCTTGAAATTCTTCCCATGCCAGCATTCATAGGATGCTCTGAGATCATCTAGGATGGTGAGCCCTTTTCCTTTGGGGTTGGTTTTGCTGATAAATTGGCCGGGATCCGAGAGATGATTCAGTATCACTTCTGAGATGGGGGTGGGGGTGGGGTTGGGGGTTGGTCATGGTGGGCATGTGGCGAATTACGGTTGGGTTGCATTATTGTGTAAACAAGCGGAGCAGACTTCTCCCAGTTAAGATTCTCAATGTTTTGTTTCTTTGCAGAGCCTGTGTCATCTTGGGGGTGATATTCCTTCTGTCATCCATATGTATAGTGGTCAAAGCCATCCATGACCTCTCAACTAGGCTGCTGCCAGAAGTGGTAAGGCCCTTTCTCCGGAACAGCTTTTCCTGCGGGTACTAGCCTCCTGTGTTACCTCTCACAAAGGATTTACTGGAGCAAGTAGGGCAGGTGGAGAGAAAATAAACAGCACTGTAGGAGGCCAGAAGGACTCACTGAAGAGTGTGAATGACTTGGCAGAGTGAAGCCCTGGGCAAGAGGAAAAAACTTCACGTAGTTGAGGTGGTACTAGGTTCTGGGTTCTGTGTCTCTCTCCTTAGGCATTTTGACTATTTTTAAAGCAAGGTGTTTTCTGTGTGAAAAGAAATGGGATGTTTTTATATAGCAGAGTGATCCAATCTGTGCTGTTTACATCTGTTGTTCTTTGTCTAGTCCATGATTATTGTAATAATAATTTTTCTCTTTTGCACCTTGCATAAATCCATTCACATTGGATTTTGGGGGCAGAACTGGCATTTGGATGTGGAAACTGGAGGGCATAATTTCATATTAAAATGTGTCTTTGATTGCTTTGTTCTTTGGGTGAGAGCTATTACCTGCACTCTGATTCCTTTTGTTTCCTCTTAGGAATGCTGGCGGGGGGTGGGGAAGGGATTTAATGTCTCCTATCAGGTTATCTTCATAGAAGGCAGCTGACTTACCAAAAAATGGAGATCCTGCTGTTACGATGATTCTCTGTATACAAGTTACATAGCGATTTAAATGCAAAAATATGGGCTCTTCTTTTAGGATGTGATTTGATTTGAGTTTGACTTCATGCACCATCTAACGCCAGGCCTAAATTCTTAGACCATTCATTTCACTTTTAGAAAAATGTACGTTAGTCCTTCCTGGGTGAGATATTACGTGTGTTCCTGGGGAAGATTAAAATGAAGTGGGACTTGATACTGCGTTTAGGAGAGCTACGGAAGTGGCTGCTTTAAGTTGCCACCCCACCCCCCAACTGAAATTGAGATCAGAGCTGGTCCTTTAATAACTCACCAGGATCTTCATTATTTGTCGTCACAGCTGACCAGAGGCTTATTCTCTAATATCTCGGTGAAAGCGAGGGAGGATGGATACCCACCCACGGCTTTCAGCCTGAGCTGGAAGCAGAGCTAGCGGAGGGCGGGAACGGTACGGTTTACTACTCTGTGTTCTTAGTCTCATGATTGCGATGCCTCACCCTCCCCTCATCACTGTGATCTCCCTCTGGCCTGGGATCCCAGACTTTTCCATCCTTTTCCTCCACCAAACATGGTAGCTTATGTTCCATTCTGTCAGAACCTGAATCTTAGCAGTAAGTATGATTAATTAAGATGTCAGTCAGGTAACTGCATCTTACATGGGATGGAAATATGCCTCCACTCTAAGAAATGTTTATCGGTGGGAATTTTCAGCACCAGACTCATTGACACGTTCATTCATTTGGCATTAAAAATTAATTTGCAGCAGGGCTACTGTGATAAGGAACGGACGGCTGTGCTCATGGTCCTTTGCAGGGTCCCTCCTTGTCTTTCTCCTGATGGTGGAACCATTTTTACTGGAAATAGTCTCACACCTTGCAGTGCAATGCCCCTAAAGGAAGAAACTCACCAACTGAAATGCCACACCAGGATGAAAATGTCTGATGCCCTGTCCCACGTGGGGTTCCGAGAGGGTGAAGAGCTCCATGATTTCCCCCCAGACTGGCCCTGTCCTTAGAGAACTCATGCCCACTGCATCTTTTATCAGTCCTGGTGTGGGATTTAAAAATCAGACCCATTTATGGTCATCCCCTCAGAACCCTGGAGAAAAGATTAAGGTGGTTTTATCGTTTGTTTTTCTGTCTTCAGCATTATGGAAAGATAACAAAGGTACGCGAGCTCCTGTCTCCAGAGAGAAGTCCTTCTGATCAGCTGAGTGGCACAGGGGGCCCCGGTAAAGGCTGCCAAGTGGTTGCAGACTGTGTTTCCATCCCGAGTCTTTGGCTTCCCACTCTCCGCTCTTGACGTTTGGGGGAGCCCACGGGCCATCACCAGACCCCCAGTCCCTGGCTTGTGGTCATTCAGCACCAGCGATTGTCCATATCTAAATTAGGCTGTAATTTAGATCGGATGTAATCAGCTGCTCATAGAAGCCAGTCCAGAAAGCAGGAGAAGCTCAAGTGCCAGAGTTGTCTGTGGCAAGCCTGTGCCTGGAGGAGAGGCCCGCCCTCTAGTGGTGCCAGGCAGAGTTGCTGTGCAGGGCTGTGAACCCAGGGCTCTCAACGAAGTTTTCAAGAGCCAGTAGAAAAGCTTCTGTTTAATGTGGAATAAATTGGCAACTCATTAAACATTTTTGAAAGCCCTGGTTGGGAGTGGGTAGGCAATTTCATATAGATCAAATAAAGTATGCCTGTGGTGGTTGAAACCAGGGAGACTGGTCTTCAGGGCCGGGATGGCATGAATTTCCGTCCAAGTTACAGCCTTGCCCTTGCCCTCAGTTGTGGAAATGCCTTTTTTTTAAAAAAATTTATTCCAGTGTAGTTAACATACAGTGTTAGATTAGTTTCAGGTGTAAAATGTAGTGATTCAGCACTTCCATACGTCACCTGGTGCTCCTCACAAGTGCACTCCTTTTTCCCCATGACCTATTTCACCCATCCCCCAGCTACCTCCCCTCTGGTATCCATTAGTTTGTTGTCTATAGTTAAGAGTCTGTTTCTTGCTTTGTCTCTTTTCCTTTGTCCATTTGTTGTTTTTTTTTTTTTTTTAAATTCCACACGAGTGAAATCATACAGTATTTGTCTTTGGCGGATGTATTTCGCTTAGCATTATACTCTCTACCTCTATCCATGTCATTGCAAATGGCAAGATTTCATTCTTTTTGATGGCTGAGTAATATTCCACTGTATATACACACCACAACCTCTTTATCCATTTATCAGTCGGTGGACACTTGGAGGAATCCTGGCGGGAATGCAAGCTGGTGCAGCCAGTGTGGAAAACATCGTGGAAGTTCCTCAAAAAGCTAAAAACCGTAATCACATGGCTGGGTATTTACCTGAAGGATGCTAAAACACAAAGCCAAAAGGCTATGTGCACCCCTCTGCTTACTGCAGTGTTACTTATAATAGCCGCATTGTGGACGCAGAGCTGCCTTTATAGGTATGATTTTTATCAAGTTGTTTTTACTGTGGGCTTGTCAGAAGCAGCATTTTCTTAACCCCGGGCCTGTTTCCGGGTGGCTTTCTTTTTAAGGTAGCTGCACCCTTTTCAGAGTGAGAATCATTGCAAGGATGTATACGCTTTGAATACGAAAGCTCTGCAGTTTGGAATTTCCCAGTCACAAAGTACAGTGACTCTGAGCCGTGGCGGGGTCACCAGGCCATTGGTGTCGTGCTGGAGAAGCCAGGCCAGCTGGGGCCCCAGCACAGAATCCATGCCGTCTGCTGCAAGGGCTTCATGACTAAATGGTGTAAGTCTGTTCCACGCAGGCTGCACATGATCGCATTGGATCATGAATTCATCGGGTCATGAATCTGGTTCTAGAAGAGCCTTCTCAGAAACTCTGTGTGAACAGTGGTTCTAGAAGTCGGCGAGAGTGGGCAATGCCTCAAGTGTAGTGGTTGCCTTATATCTGTGGGTTGCTTTGAGAAGAACATGGTCCTCTTCTTCTTTTCACCCCTGCCACACCCTGCTTAGGTAAGAAGGGACAGGTGGCATGTGTCTCCTTTTGGTGGGATATGGAGGCTCTGAAGCTGGACTGATCTTCCTGGGGTGGTCAGCTGGCTGCCGGCAGAGCCTCGTGTCTCCTGGTCCAGGGCTGTCTCGGCTGCTGGTACTCTTGGGCATGTATGGTCCTGTTCTTGAGCTTCTCAGGTTTGGCCCTTCTGGGTTCTCATGCTCAGAGGGGTTGCTGCTAGGGCTGTCCTAGCGAAGATGCCCAGGGCCCCAGCGGGTCCCATCCCTGGCTTTTCTGGCTACTCCTGCTACCTCCATCCCTTACTCTTCTCTGTGCACATTGTCCCTTGAGAGCCCTGCAGGCAGGTTAACCAAGAAGTGATGGAGGATGCCACAGGACAAGTATGGAAGGAGGGGAGTCATGGGATACACGGAATCACATGGAAGGAAGTGCTTTAAGGAAGCTGCTTGGCATGGAGGAAGGTATGTGGATGTGGACCTGCAGGCTGCTGGAGGCAGGGGTCCTATCTCTGCTTCTTCTTACCCAGGAGACCAGCACAGGCCAGTTGCTTAGCCTCCCTGACCCTGTGCTTCCTCATATGTAAAATGGAGCTAATACTATATCAGAGGTTTAGGATAAGGATCAAGTGAGCTGTGTATTTAAAATAACAATCAGGGGGCACCTGGGTGGCTCAGTGGGTTGGGCCTCTGCCTTCAGCTCAGGTCATGATCTCAGGGTCCTGGGATTGAGCCCCACATCGGGCTCTTTGCTCGGCAGCTTGTCCCCCCACCCCGCCCCTGCCGTCTACTTGTGATCTCTCTCTCTCTCTCTCTCTCTCTATTAAATAAACAAATAAATAAATAATTAAATCTTAAAAAAAAACATTAAAAGACAATGCTACTGTGATGGCTGCCCTTAACATTCTGAATTTTGATATTTCTGAATCTCTGATTAGTGTCACCCCAGGTGGTGGCCTGAGGTAATTTCAGACTGGGCCCCTCATCCCTTTTACTTGGCTCCTGCTCTCCCCTGTGGCTGGCTAGAACTCCCTCTCTTGTTTCAGGTAGCCCTGGCCAGTCTTGGGCCAGCCTTTGGGAGAACATCAACACGCTGTCAGAAGACCTGACCTCCAAGGCTACCTCGCCACTCATCGAGTGTGTGACTGGTAGCAAATCACGGTAGAGACGGAGAGTTGAATGATGTTGTGAATGTGGAAATGCTCTATAAACTGTCATGCCTTACAAAAGAGGGAGATGAACTTGGTTCTGATACCAAGGCCATAGAAGTCCCATTCTTGCCCGTGAGCATCCTGTCAGTTTCCTGTTTGGTCGGACCAGCTCATTAGCTTCTCCTGCCTGTAGTAGATCAAGACTTCTTCAGCTGGCGCTCTTGGCCAC